CCAGTTTATTCAATGGCATCTTGTCCACTTTTGTTTTGTTGAAGATCTGTACCCTGGCCACTTCTCCTATGGAAGGGGCCTGACCTTCCATGATGGTTCCTGTTCTTGCTCGTCTTCGTTCTCAGGTTTCTGCTGCCTAAAATATTCACTATGCACACTATCAGTTGTACCTATCTTCCTGTATACTGGTGTTAACACTCACTAGTCCTCGGCCACCTTCCTTCCACTTAGCATACAGACTTAGGGTGCTGGGTTTGGGGTGAAATCCTCCATGCATGGTAAGGAAGTTCCTTGTCTTGATGTCAGTGGCTTCTGTTTCCTCCTTTGGTCAGTTTATTATCCCAGCAGGGCGCAGATGTTGATTGCCTGGATCTTGTTCTTCCCATTCAGCTTCCTCTGCAGATATTTGGTGGTTGTGGCTTTCCTAGCGGCCTCTTCATGGTTTCCCTTTGCCCGGGGGATTTCCAGGTACACATTGCTATCCTCAGTAATGTTCCCCTTTGCCTTCAATTACTACCTTTGCTCTCTTTGTTACCACTCAATTACATTTCTCCAGTCCGAACGACATTCTGATGTCACCGCTGCAGATGTTCGTGGCGTGGATCAGTGAGTCGATGTTTCGTTCACTCCTGCCCTGTAGTGTTGTTCGCCGCATCAACACTGAGTTGCTGCTCTCAGGGTATCGTGCACAGTTCCAGGCACTCTAGAAACCATGTGTGAGACATACAGCTTCTTGTGGTCAATCCAGGCGGTGCACGGGTTGTTCAGTCTCGTGTGGCTGCTCCATCTAACATTAGCTTATGTTTTTCTCCTCTAGTGTGCTTGACAATTCCCTTCAGTGCCCTGATCATGTATTGAAACATGTACTGTTCATCTTAGCACTTATGACGCCTGACAGGTGCTTCCCTGTTGTATTGAGGCAGGTTATTGGTGGTAGTTGGATGGGACTGGTCCTTTCTGGGGATCCTTGGGAATCAATTAGCCCACAGGTGTCAAACTCCAGGCCTCGAGGGCCGGTGTCCTGCAGGTTTTAGATGTTTCCTTAATCCAACACAGCTGATTTAAATGGATAAATGACCTCCTCAACATGTCTTGAAGTTCTCCAGAAACCTGGTAATGAACTAATCATTTGATTCAGGTGTGTTGACCCAAGGTGATATCTAAAATCTGCAGGACACCGGCCCTCGAGGCCTGGAGTTTGACACCCCTGTATTAGCCATTCCCAATCAATCTTGTCCATCAGCAGCTGGTTCATTTGTGCTGCCAGGTGCTCGTGGAGTGCAGTTAGCTTCTTTGTTAGCCTGGTGCTGTCCAGAGACCCTTTCCTGGATATCTGCCACTGTGATGGTTACTGGATCCTGTTCAGGTTGCTGTGGTTTGCTCTTAGTCACTGAACATTGTTGTTGTGTGTTGCACACATTAACACACATCTATAATCTTTCTCAGCTGCTTCTGTACCCACTTAAATGTCAAGAAGTGTGAGTTTTCTCCCTTACAGAATACAGAAGAAGAAACATTTATCCATTATTTAGAAAACGGACTCTTCTGTTCATTAATTATGTACATGACCTCCTCCTGGCTCTGCGGGTAGATGTATTAAATAAAGCATTTAAAGAACAACAACAACTTGGAAATATAGTCCATTTCCGAGGTTCCGTTTTCTCTCACTGAAGCGGACAAACTGACCTGTGAAAAGCGGCTCCGCAGCTGGACTCTTACAGAACAGCTGTCTGCTGGAGGAACACGCGCGCAGAAGAGACATCTCTAAAAACAGAAACCAGCAGCTGTTTTCAACGCACTCCGCCTGCACTTATACAATGACGTTACTGTCTGTCGACTAACATTTACGCAATTTTCATCATCACCTAGCGACGAATAGTGATCGGCGAGCCAGTGCAGTGCTGCGTGCAGCCAGCAGGGGGAGATAAAGGCTAAATATCCGTTTTGATATTGACTCGTCGGTTTCTACGCTGATTATTTAATTAAAATACAGCTTCACATGCAGAAATAGGGTTGTGCAATTCATCGAATTTTAATCTAGTTCGCAGTTTTAATTTTCAGTTAAATTAATGAGATCAAGCTATACAAAAACACGCGCTTTGCTAACAGAATACAAAGGAAAGCAGAGCAGCCGCTCCCTGAATCAGCGCTGTCTGCGTGTGCAAATCACAGCTCGCTGGTCTGGACGGAAAACACGGGGTCACTACACAGCTGCATCCCATCTAAGGCAAACAGTTTTTTCCAAATTTGTCCGATAAACCCACCGGACACAGGATGGAAGGCTTAGGGTTCACAGTACAAGACAAGATACACGATCTCCTGCAACACCTGAACTGTACACGAACGCAGGGACCGTGGAGCGTGATCTCACAGCTGTGGAGGACTTTTCTATGTTTTATTTACATCATACACATACAATGAATGGAGTGTTATTTTTACGTGCAACAAAAGTATTTTTCCCATTAAACTTAAGAAATAATCGTGACAAATAGTCCCGATCTAAACAGTGATAAAAGAAAAGTTTGTTGCTTTCGTTTTCTGTTCGGTTTTAGTGGAATTTTTTATTTCAATTGATTTTTATGTTTTTCTAAAATACGCTTTGGATTTACATCGATGTGAGAGTAGTGTTAATTTTATTTTTGTCAGCAAAATGAGCGAATAACCGTGATCTTAATATTGATCAAAATGACTGTCATAAACATTTTAGTCAAGCCATAGTAGAAACTAAATATTAAATACAGCAATACAAAACAACAGCAATAATAATAATAATGACAATAATAATAAACATATGCATGCCATATTTTTTTTCTCTTTATCATGTGTACCCTCCGCATTTACCAGTGAGTTAGATTGATGAGTAAAGTCATGTTATTCTACTTTATATTTACAGTGCACCAAATTTTAGATGGAATAACCTTTGCTGTCAAATTAACGTGACAGCAAAAGTTATTAGAATAAAAACTTTACACAGTGAATCATCAACAACCAGCCAATAAAATAATGCCACCTAAGAGGTTAAGTGAATGGCAGTCATCACCCCTTCAAAATTAACATTTTCATACAATACCCCCACCACACACACACACACACACACACACACACACACGCACGCACACACGCGTGCGCGCACACACACACACTATGGCCCTAGTATTGGTATATAATGAAAATATAAAATTTCAGACACGACTTGCAATTAAAATACTTGAACTTTATTTCAAGCAGCAGCTGTAAAATAATTCTTTGACATTAAAGCATGCAGAATGATGATGTAATGATGTAACATTATTATTAACAGTCACTTAAAATGCAGCTTCGTTTTGGAGCTTAGCCCTCTAACTGTTGAGCAGCGCTGTGCGCCTGGAGTGTTCAGCTGCCCAGATGAAGATCTAGAAACTCCCTCTGCTCTTGTACTGCAGCTGACAGTGGAGTCAGCTGTTTTCACAGGACAAAAAAGTGTTGGGCACCTGAATCAAGTGAGAGAAAGCAAAATCACACACCGAGTATATACAGTCCAGTCTCAC